CCTAAGCAGCAAGCCCGGCTCCACTGGGCTGGATGGCATGGACGGTTTGCTGACCTCTGTTCTCCTGGGGCATGGGAGGTGGTGGGTATCAAGTTCTCTAGCCTCTTCCTCCTGTTGTCCCAAGGAGAGATTCCCATTTCTCCTTGGCCCTTGTCTTAGCTGTGTCTCAGTGGACCACAGATAGACAGACTGAGGGTTAAGAGGGGAATGTTGATGGGGAGGTCTGCAGGTACTGTGAAAATCCTTCCCTCTGCTGTCCCCCACTGGGAGAGGTGGGGGTTGGGTTTGGAATGTGAGAATGGCACAATAAACTTGATTTTTAGGGCAGTGCTCCCACCCTCCAAAAAAAAACTGGAGGTAAATGGGGCTGTGTACATTTGGTCTTGATTCTATAAGGCAATGGCGGGGGGGGGGTCAAAGGTTTTGAGCAGAGGAGGGAGAGAATGAAATCTATATTTTTTTTTCTTTCCTGCTTTGTATTCATCCTGTTCTTTTTGTATTCTAACTATGCCTGGACTCACTACCAGTCCAGGTATGTAGATGTGGAGAAAAATCAGATGGAATCTCAGGCAGTTCTCCATAAATGAGAGTTCTAAAGCAATCAATTCCTTTTAGACAGGACTGGCACAGCAAGCAGGGTGAAGGGGTAGAGAGGGAAGCTACAGTAACTCTCTGCTTGAGCAGTAAAGTGGGACCTGATCTCAGACACAGGCAGTGAGAATAAACCTCTTACAGAACACAGCTCCATGCTGGGCACACAGAAGGCTTCACACACACACACTACACTTACAGCAATGAGGCACCTGCTGGCCTTCTCATTCATTTGGGGTTTTTTTTCAGGGGAGATATCAATGACGCTTGGGCCACTTGCTCTGGCACCTGCAATGGTGGGAGACGCTGGACTTTGCTAAAGGAAGAAGAGATCTGAGGACAAAAGGACACCTGCATCACCAGTGTAGAGTGGTGGCTTAGCCAGGAACTCTACCTACAAACTCCATTTTGGGAGGGATCCCTGAGACACCCAATTTGGCCCACAAAGGCAGGACTCTCATATTCCAGGGGACTGGTAGTGAGGATGGGACTCCCAAGCAATAAGGCTCTTGGAAAGCCTACTGCATCCAATGTCTACAGTGGAGTGTGGCACAAAACAGATCTATAGGAGGCAGGGAGGAAAGACAGTTCATACTTCCAAAATAGTGAAGGGTTCTAGCATGGAGGTCCAATTTCCCCGAAATACCGCTGGGAACATCCAAGAGCAAGAGTCAAGGTAAAGGCCTCCTTTATAGTGGGCAGGAACTGATATCCTTCCGGGAAGATGGGGACTGGAGCAAAGGTTCAGCCTTCCCAAACCCAGGGCTCTGGTCTACCAAGTCTCCAATAAACCCACTTCTTTCCAGGCTTATGTCCTTCCCTCTCCTGCCAAACAGAGACAGTCCCTTCCTCCAGCATTCTCCACCAAGCCCTTCAAACCTTGTCAGCCTGTCTCATCTGCTGGACTTCCCAGCTCCTACCCATCACAGAGTATAAACTGATCCAGCCGTCGAAGGAGGCAGCAGAGAACACTGGAGGGTCCCGAGGGCACCACTGCGCATGGAAGCACCAGCTGCTCAGTGTGGGTAGCTTATACACCACCTAATATGAGGGAACACAACCATTAAGGAAACCTTGACTTAGGTAAGGAAACCCAGAACACATAGGTGCAGCTGGGACTCCCCTACCATCCCAGCATGCCCACAGAAGGGCCAGCCTACCTCGCTGCTCTCCAGGTTCCAGCACAAGATCTGGTTGTCCTTGGCACTACTGAGCAGTAGTAGCTCAGCATCAGCCTGACTCCATGACACTGACAGGATCCCCCTAAAAAGGAAAGGAAAGAGGAACTAACGTTTGCTGAATGCCTACTGTGAGCAGGGTACCTTATGTATCTTGGATAAATCTCATCCCCCCAAAATGAGCAGTCTGACTTCATTTTACAAATGAGGAAAATGAGGCTTTGGAGGAAATTAAGGAACTTTCAGCAGTCAAGCAGCCAGAACCCAAGTCAAATCCCAGAGCCTGTGCACTATGCACTATACCACTCTGCCTCCTACAGGTCACTGAAGGATGGCCTGCTTCTCTTCCCTGATTGTAGGGTAGGAATTATGAATCAACATGAATCAGGCAAGCACCCATCCCTATGGGTGCTTTTAGCCCAGGAGGGTAGTGAGGACCTAACGCTCAAAAGTCCCCAAGGGGCACGGCCCTTGAGTTAGAAAGAACAGACTATGGGGCTGCTTTCTCTGCTGTAGGCCCAAGAGCTACAGCTTCAGAGGCAGGCCTGTTCACAGAAAAGATAAGAACTCTTGAAGGAGGCAAACTAATCACCTAAAGAAATGAGTACTGTCCTCAGACCAGAGCTTGGGGACTCTCCCAGGGGTACTAAACATTGGCTCTAGTATTTCTCATGACCCTATCCCCACTCCCATCTCTGGAAGTTAAATGGAAACTCAGGCTCTTTTCCATAACCTCTGGGTCTAAAGGAACTCCTCTTGATTGGAGCTGGAACTAGAACTGGGTAACTATGTGTTCACTGGGATAGATTTGAAGGCAGGGAGAATGTCTGGTAGCCAAAGTGAGGCATGCATTGCCTTCTACCCAGGTCATTTATGCCCCCGCACTCCAACAAGGATGTGGAAGGGGTTTGAGATGCTGCCTGCTGTGACTCTCCAGCACCTTCAGGGGTGAGGAGGCAAAGCACAAGTCCCACAGATGAATTACTGGAAGACGATCATCTTCTGAACATAGCACCAACTAGGTGGCCATGTCTGGGTGCCAGGCCAGGCCTGAGTAGTGCATCTGTGAACAAAGCAGACCCCAATGGGCCATGTAACCTGACTCTTCTGGTTATGAACCTTTTTTGTCCAGCTGAAATGAGACCTCTCTGAGGGTAGGTTTTGTGTCTCTCCTATGTGACTGGGAACACCACAGCCATTGGGGAATGAGTGATGACCATAGCAAGGAGCACCAGAAGCCTCCAGATCAGCTCAGTTTAGCTTCCCTAAGCTTTCACTCTCAAATGGAAATCTGCTGAGGCTGAATCCACAGGTGTAACAGCCGAAAGCAGAACCCTCGCTTGGGGGAGAGCAGCTCCAACACTAGGCCTGAGAGAGACAGCAGAGCCCGAGCCTATATTCTGCCTGTATTCAACTCACCCTGTTGCTGTGATCACTGACTTTGATGATAGGTTCATTCTTCCTGAGATCCCACACGACTGCCTTGCCGCTGGGGTGAGCAGAAGACAGAATGTGTTGAACTTGACGGTTCCAAGAGAGTGCTTTGATGTCTTCTGGGGGCTGCTGAGGCAGGATGTGTGGGGGGCAGGTTGAGGACAACCTGTCACCCCTGGACCAAGAGACAGCTGCTCTTCCACTGCTCCCAACCATCCACAGAAAGGCCAAGAGTAAACATGGGGCTATCCAAACCAAGCCAGTCTCGGGAAGCTGGGAGGGGAGTTTTCCGGAGAGGATGCTTTAGGAAACTGGTGTAGAAGCTGAGAGAAGGCCAGATGCACTTGGGTTTTACTTCTATCCCAAAGTGCTCCTGAGAGGATAGAGTCAAGATTTTAAAACAGCCCTCTCGTCTCTGACAAGAGAGAGAGGGAGAGGGAAAAGGTGAGGGAGGGAGGGAGGGAAATATAGACACCCAAGACCCCCAGAGAGAATGAGGCAGAGAGAAAAGCCATTGATACTTTTAGGGCACAGGGTGCTATCAAATTCATACTGAACTTACCTCACGATACTGTAAGCATAAGAAACAAAAGCGAGGAAGAAAAAGATGGGTCCAGTTACAGACTGACAAGATAGGTACACTCAGAGACAGAGACACACGAGTCTCCCAACCACATGGGGGAACCAGATACAGACAACGCTGATCCTCCTACAAAAAGGACAAGGGTGTATCTGGGTGTCCTACTCTTGCCCCTGGTCAGCTAAGCTCAGGGCCCAAGCTTGCCTAAGCTATACTACGATAAACAGTACGTTCACGCCTTCTCTCAATGTCTTTTACTCCCCTCACCCTTCTTTATTTGCCTTCCAGAAACCCCTAGGTCAGTTAATGACCACAAGCCACCCCCAACCCGTCCCCACCTGACTCCAACTCTATTATCTGGCTGGTAGGCAGCACGTTAGTCTGTGGAGCTTTAGTGCCCTCCAGTGGTGAAGACGGAAATCTCCTGTGTGCTGGCTGCCTCCAGAATTCAACGCTACCTGGGAAAATCAGGTGCGCTCTTAAGCAGCAGCACCAGAAGGCTCCTCACCTGTGACTTGGATCCCGGGGTCACTGGCACACTCAGGTTATTCAAATCCCAAATGAAGATTTCTGAATCATTGGCCCCTGAGGCCAGGAGGTTGCCTTGTATGAAGGAACAGGCCTTTGGAGACACGCCTTCCCAGGAAGAGATGAGAGCAGAAAAGGGGGAAGGAGACCCACATGCGGGGCTTCCAAAGCCATCCCCACAACAACCTGGGAAGGGCTCAAAGTTAGAGACCACAGGTCACAAGCAAACGCTTCCCTTCAGATCTGTCAGCCATGTCTGATTAACTGAAATGTAGTACCTGGAAAGGATTAAAGTCAAGGGCTCTGACAGCCGCCGTGTGCTTCTGTATCTGGGTAATCACAGGCTCCTTTCCCAAAGACAGGATGTGGGTCACATTGTATAGAGTAAGCATGCCATCATCCCCACTGCCTGCAATAACCCCGGAGCCTTCCAGAAGCCCGTTGCCAAAGCTCCCCCAGATCAGCTTGTGAAACCTACAAAGAGGAGGAACTGGCATTAGCACCAACTCAGGTCCACGTCAGTAAGTAGAGAATGGGTATCTTTGCCAGCCTCTGACATTACGCAGGCATCCCCACCCTTAGTCAGGGCCTGCCTGTCTCCCTCATTTCCCAGACACAGAACAGAGGTCTCCTCTGCCTGGTCCTCCTGCCCTTTGGCTGAAAAAATGTTCCATCTATGTTACACTAGAAGCTAGGAGGCCACTGCCATGGAGCTGGGGGAGGGGTGCTTTTTATGTTTTTGTTAATATTATCGGGTTTAATATAAACCCAGTGATAAACACTTCAAATAAATTACTTCTTAATCCTCCCAACTCAAATAACAACTAACACTTATTTTGATAACTTCCTACGTACTAGGCACTAGTACGTTTTAAGTGCTTTACATGTTTTAGCTGATCAACAACCCCATGAGGTATTAACTCCATTTTCAATTGAGGAAACGAGGCACAGAGAAGTTGTGAAACTTCTGTATATACAGTTAGTAATTTTACTCCCATTTGACATCTAGGAAGTGACAGAGTCAAGGTTCAAAGTTAGGCCCATCTTATGTCAAAGCCTGAGCTCTTAACCATCATAAAATATTGTTTTCTATTTAGAGCAAGATCCAAACTCTTCTACACCTGAATAGAAGCAGGTTCCTTAGGCCAACAGTTGCTGTCCCCTCTTCCCTCTTAAACTGGAAGTGAGAAAAGATCTAAGGACTTTCCCATCCCATGCCTCTCCCATGTGTCTAGTCCACTGGAACTACCATGTGGATTCAGTGGGCCAGCCCTAGAGACACAGAGGCACAAAGAATAAGTGCACCGTTTGGGGAACACTTTTCTGGCTTTCTGAGCATCTTTCACACAAGAAAGAGATGGACCCTGGGCTCCCTGCACACAAGTATGGGTCCCCTGCAAAGCCCCTAGGGAAGGCATGTGAAATCCCCAAAGGCTCACAGGTGGTCTGTCCTCCATTTCACTTGGCTATCCTACTAGACAAGGCTATTTCCGCAGCCTTCCGAGAAGCCAAATTTCACATTGAATGATGTCGTATGATCTCTAACTGAAATTAAATGTTCCCACACCCTGGGAACAATCAGCAAAGAAACTGAATGGGGTGACCAGGCAGGAACCTGTTTGGCCAGTCATTAGAGCAGAGCCAACCTGTCAAAAGTGAAGAGCTGAGCACTAGTTCAGACCAGGTCAGCATCTGAACAAAAACAGCAGAGCTGAACAAATGGTGGGTCTAAAGCTACTGTCAGAAAGGCTATATTTTCTAAGGTTGCGCTGACCTTAACAGGACAGAAGAATGTGTTCCATGCTAGCTCCAGAGGCTGCCATGTCATCCAGGGGCTAGAGCTCAGCATGGGCAGAGGGCAAGTCAATAGGTTAGCCAGAGAAGCCTCTAATAGGTCACACAGGAAGCAGAGGTAGGTATGGCCATGGAAACTCACATGGGAATGCAGTGACCGCGGTATGGTCAGAGCACATGACATAAAATCAGAGTAAAACGTACCTGAGACCACATGGGAGTCACCAAAGGGTCGGAGAAGAGGGCCCAGTTACTTTAGAGTGGCTGAAATGCAGAATACGGGGTGTGACAAAATGATTTTTCTTTGTGTAAGCATGCAGAAAGTACATTCCTATTGTTAACACTTCACTAGTAAGGGTGAAACTGGAGCCCGAATAGCTGTGAGAGACAACACCTGGGAGAGGGGGAACACCTGGGACGAGTCAGGCAAGGAAGGACACTTGATCAATCATCTCTGCCCTGCAAATGGACAGTCATATGTGTGTGTGTGTGTGCGCGCGCGTGTGTAAACAAAGAGAGAGCACACAAGCATGTGAGCAAATGTGACAAAACATTAACAACTGATGAGTCTAAATGAAGGTATATGATTGTTCATTGTACTACTGTGCAACTTTTCTGTGTTTGAATTTTTTTTTTTTTTTCTTTTTGTGGTACGCGGGCCTCTCACTGCTGTGGCCTCTCCCACTGCGGAGCACAGGCTCCGGACGCGCAGGCTCAGCAGCCATGGCTCACGGGCCCAGCCGCTCTGCGGCATGTGGGATCTTCCCAGACTGGGGCACGAACCCGTGTCCTCTGCATCGGCAGGTGGACTCCCAACCACTGTGCCACCAGGGAAGCCCTGTTTGAATATTTTAAAAATAAAAAGTTACAAAACAAAAAAGATGGCCTTTGGCCTGCAAATAGGAACTAAGAGATTTAAGTAGAAGGTATAGGGAGACGAGTTTGTATAGGAAGATGAGAACTTTGAAAACATGAGAATACACGTGGAATTCTCTGCTAAAGAGCTTCTCAGGATAATGATGGCAATGATGGAGACCATATGGCATCACAGAATAAGGGGTGGCACCTAAAGAAAACACAGGTTCCTGATTCCCACCCAGACCTTGTGAAGCAGAATTTCCAGAGACAGGCCCTCAGAATCTACATTTCTAATAAGAGCCCCCTAGGTGATTCTAATAAGCTGCCAAGGTTAGGAACCTCTGTACTAGATACATCAGACTACACACCAGCATAGAACAATGGGAAGAAGTTGAATGCATAAAGATAGAACCAGCCCCAACAATCAACTCATGGCTATGCTCCTGGCAAAAAGAGAAAAACAAGGCTGGAGAGAATAAACTGAGACCTGTGAGAGCAGAACATCGCACCAGCTAAGCTCATCTGAGGCCAAGCTTCAGCTACCTTATGATTAGGAATATGTGCTGTATAAATTCTTGTTCCCATGATTTCTGTACTTCTTTGTTTTGGATTTTGATTTTATTTGCTTAGTGAAGTTCCTTATGAAAAATCCCAACCTCATGTTAGTGGATTAAAGTGAAGATGAGTTTGTCCACATCCTGGCCAAAATAACTGAGGAAATCCAAGTTTCCTTAAAAGTCAGAGAGATGAGGGCAGTGCTGCAAGCTGGAGAATAAAGACACTGGGGTGGAGCGATGGCTGTCTGAGAGAACTATGCACCAGGCTACTATGTGCCAACTATGTTACTCAAATTTACAGTAGAGAAAACAGGGTCAGAGAAGTTAAATAATGTGTCTGATAGGACAGTAGATGGCAAAGCTGGGATTTGAACCCAAGTCTGTCCAACAACAAAGCCCATGCTCTCTCCTCTGTGATCTTAATGTCTCTAGAGAGAAGGCAAGTCTTAGAAACAAGAAAATTAGGAGTAGTACCAAAATGATCATTTACTGCTTAGTGTTGTCCCTTACAAAGGCACCTAAAGAGGGGTCACAGTGCTCCCCAAGTAGCTAGAACTGAGATAAAGGTATTGGAAGATAGATCACCTACTTTCTCCATGTTACTAGAGGATGGGTCAGACATAGGTTACAGAGGCCACTCAGAGATCCAGAACCTCAGTGTAGACAGAGGTAGAGTGCAGCAAATCACCCACTGATCCCTGAACTCACTCAGCCACAGCAGCTATGTCCTCAACTCAAGTCAATACATAAACAATGTATTATTCTCCCAGATAGCTTTCTTCTTGAGTGAGATTCATCTAACAAACCAAACATCACTTGCTTCAGTGCACATGCTAATCCATATTGATTCTGATTGCATCCAGTGGCATTAATTCACACACTCTCTTCACTCTATTTATAGCTTAAGGCTGTCCCTTATCTACACCCATACCAGTGTTTCAGAACATTTCTCTTTCAATCAGGTATTTCTAAATAGATAATATTTCTCTGATACATCACTGGTTGAGGATAAGGGGATCTTCAGGATTCAAATGTGGTTGAGGCATGGGTCTGGTAAAAAGGGAAGGCAATGGAAGGGGGAAGACTTTGAAGAGTATGTTTAGTTAATAATAAAGAGATACAGAGAGGCACTTGTTTAAAAAAAAAGGAAAAAAGGAAGGAGACTAAACTAGAAAAAGGGAAGGAGAGATTGAAGATAAGACTTAAATTTGGAGTTCAGTAGACTCTTAGAAGTCATCTTGTACAACCTCTTCTTTACATATAAGTGAGGAAACCTAAGATCACTGATGGAATTCAATTTGCCCAAAGTCACATAGTTTTAGCCAAGGTAGCAACCCAACACAACTGTGCTTTCCATTAAACCAAGCAGAAGATGATACAGAAAAGAGGAAAGCATAAAGCAAAGGATGGGTTGCCCTTTGTCTACCCTGATCATCTTGGTCAACTGTCTGTGATGCTGACTTTTGTGTAAGTGACCTAACCCAGGCTGGAATGGAAAGAAGTGGGTGTCTTAAACCCTGGAGGGTCTAATTTGATTTCTTCAGAAAGGCCCCAACCGAACTGTGTCAAAAGTAATCCCTTAGGTCTTTGAGAATGAGACTCAATCTTTAGACACAATTATAGAGGTGGAAAAAGGAAGCTAACTGTACTATTTGTTTTGGTTATAGTCCCCAAATTCCTGCAGGGTAGAGCAGGGTGTGAGGTGATGCTTCATGATTCCTGAATACAGTACCAACATTTCAAAAAGTGTCCCTTCAACCTAGTTGGCTGCCAAACAAACAGATTGTTACCCTTGAAAAGCACTTAAGGCACTAAGACTAACCGAAGACTAACTATAACTAACTGAACTGGTGGACATGAATGCTCCGTTTGGTAATCCAGAAAGTTCTAATATCACTCATTTATTCCACAGATATTTTTTAACCACCTAATGACAGGCACTGTTCTAGATGCTAAAGATAGAGCAGTGAATAAAACAGACAAAAATCTCTGCTTACATGGATCTCAGGATTCAGTTTCAAGGTTTCTTAAGCAATTACATTGCCTCTTTCTTAGGAACTCCTAGCCCTAAGGAGCCACTACTATGCTGAAGCTGCTGCTTGGCTGCTCAAAGAAAAGAGTCCTTGCGCTCACTGCCCCTTTTCTTATCTTCAGGAGTATAAACGTTATTAAATTAGCTCACCCCTTTCAGCAGCCCTTTATGAAATGCTTGCTTAGAGGCTAAGAATATCTCATCATTACTGGTAAACCCGCCAAGGCCTGCTCTTCAAAAGATAAAAGTACTAGAAATACAAAGAAATGTTAAAAACTGCAAAATAAGGGATACTGTAACAAAGTGATACAGGAGCTCAAGAAAAGGAGAACAAAAACTAACTTTCATTATTAGGTTAAACCATGAAAAGAAAGAAGAGGGTACTTCTGTCTAAATATCTTAATCTAATCACTCAGATGGACCAAAAAATGCACAAGAAGATGGAGAGTTGCATTCTAGACCAGCAATCTCTAAAGTGGATGGGCAAGATAATCCTCTGGGCTGTAAGAAAAAGATTTATATTTTTAATATTAAAAAGTAGTACAGTAATAAATGTATATTATTTATACTAAATATATACTCGAGTATAGTGAATATTCACATTTTTCCTGATTGTACAAAAATTTAGAGATCATTGATTCAGACTGTAAGCCTCATCTTTAAACAACCTGTAAAAGAACAGTGGAATAATAGAAAGAAGGTAGGTTTTGGAGTAAGACAGGCCTAGACTTAAATCCTAGCTTCTCAGAGTTTTGGTTCTCTCCTATGTAAAATGGGAATAATGGTATTTTTTGGTTAGGCTCATTTTGAGGAATGAATAAGATACTATACAGAACCCCTAGCATAGTGCCTGGAATGTATACATGTGCTTGGTGAATGCTAGTACCCAACCCTGTAAGCCTGCCAGAGCCATGAAATCCATGAGTGCCCAATCAGTGCCTGACAGCAATGAGGAGAGGATCATTCTTTCGCCTCCCACTGGCAGACAAGGAAATGTTGTGTAAGGCTGTTATCTTCACAAGAGCCAAGGGAGGAAGAAGCCAATTCCTCTGCGTTCAGAGACAGATCAGGTACTTGTGGGTCCAGGCTTCTGTGAGGCGTCTCTATCACATGATTCTGCATGACGCTGCTGCTGCTGACCACAAAGGTTGGAGTGGGTGTTTTCAAAACCCTCTTGCAAAATAAACCCAGAGTTAACTTCTCTCCTACTAAAAGACCATTCTCCCCTCACTTGTCTCCTCATGAGCCCTGAGAAGCACATACTACTCCCGGGATTCCCCATCAGGGTCTACATCAGGATCTGCCCTGCATACCCATCAAAAGTTCAGACATAGTACCTGCTGGAGGGAGAAAGGACTCCCTTGTGTTTCAAGTCCAGAGAGGGGTCCCTGAAATCAACCTCAAAGATTTCCAATGTGCCATCTGTACTAAAGGAGGCATCTAGCTGCTGGGCAGATGTTCCTAGGCACAAGAAAAGTAAGGAAGAGGCAGTATATGAGCAACAATACATGCATGGATTTGGGGTATAAATGGTTAAGCGGTACAGAAGAGGAGGAACAGGAGAGGACTGGATATACCCTTTTTCAAATGGTAGCTCCAAAGAAAGCAAGAAAGCATGAGGTGCTTAGCCTTAAGCCAGAGTCCAAGGTTGTCCACAGGTACCAGAAACTCCTAATATCCCTTTGCATATGCTACTAGCCAGCCCCAGATTTCCATGACTCTAAAACTTTCTCTGAAGCGCAATAAAGAACCCTGGATACTATGTTTCCCTTCAACCTATGTACTCAGTGGATCTTTATCCACCATACCTGTGGCCAGATACACAGGGTAGTGGCTAGCTGGGCTCCACACTTGGACAGCTGGCCGCTCAAGTTCCTTCAGCTTCATGGTCTGTCCTGTAGGTGGCAGAAAAGTGACCCTTTTCCTCAGCCTACTGAAAATAGAAACCAGCAAGCTTAAGGGCCAGATCAAGGGGAACACCTGTGGACATGAGAGCTTGTTTCTCTCTCACCACCAAAGAATGGGGCATTTTGGGGCAACACAGGGTAACAAATACATGACCGTCTGCAGATCTGTAATGACAGTTCATTTTCCCAGTTACTGAAATCTAATGCTTTAAACCCTAAAAGATATTCAAATACACTAGTTGCCACAGGCCCAAGGGTGATGATAACCATCAAACCAAATAATCTCTCAGTGACCCTATCCAATCCCTTGGTTTTAAACATCATCCATATGTCGATGACTCCCAAATTCATATCGGCAATACAAATCTCTCCTCTGAGCTACAAGTTCTTATATACAACTGCTAATCAAATATTTCTACTTGGATATAGTAAAGATACCTAAAAGTTAGTCTGTCTAAAATGGAATTCTCTATTCCACCATGTCATCCACCCATCTGTTCTTTTCATTTCAGCAAATGGTACCACCACCTAGACAACTGCTTAACCCCCAAACCTGAAAATCACCATAGATCCCTCCTTCGCCCTTATTCCCTTCTAATCCACCATTAAGTCTTCCAAATTTTGCCTCCAAAATATACCCTAATCTATTTTTCTCCATCTTCACCACTGCTCTATTTGAAGATACTATCATCTATCACCTAGATTACTGGTCTTCTCCCTGCTACTCATCCCTGTCACCCAATTCATTCTCTGCATAGCAGCAGGAGTAAACTTTTTAAATCAAAAATTGGATTTTGGCATTCCACACTTAAAATTTTTCAGTGGCTTCTATCACACTCAGAATAAAATGCGAACCCCTCTGATCCCTGCTCAAAGGCTCTAGCCTACCACTTCAACTTCATCTCTTCCTACTCTCCCCCTTACTTATTGTGCTACAGCTGCATTAGCCTTTTTTCATTTCCTGGCGTTTCCCCACTTTAGAGCTTTGTAAATTCTGTTTGCTATACTTTGATGGCTTTTTGTTTCATTCTCTGCATGACTGGTTCCTTATCACATCTTTCAGGGCTCAGCTTCTCACCTCAATGAGGTGATCCACCCAATCAAAAACAGACTCCTTTTTTTCTTCTTAGCAATCTATAATTATATATTTATTTACATCTACATTGTCCACTAATAAGTAAACTCCATGAGAGCTAGCACTGTGTCTGCTTTGTTCTCCATGTTATAACTAGCGTCAGAACAATGTCTGGCACATAGTAAGTGCTCGATAATACTTTATGAATGAATGCAGACATCTATTTTAACTCGGTAGTTTCCAAACCAATTCTAACACATACTCAAGGTGCCATCCCAACAGGCTAAAGCGGCAGGGAAGTTAAAAAAAAAAAAAAAAAAATAAAAACTGAACTTGATGGAGTAAACTTGGGACCCACTGTGACCTGCTTGAGCAAGCCACAGCCAGGTTAGTCTTGACCTACCAAAAGTTTTATTACTTAATAATATCAAATGTACTCTCCAGCTTGAAGAAAGTTTAAGGCTGCCAACTCAGCCGAGATTTCCCGAGGACCTCTAAACACTTGAGGAATATTCGGACAAGATTGTACATCATATTACACGGTCACCAGTGCCACCTGCTGGTCAATACCATTTTCACGTTTCTGGAGAAAGGTCTCTTAAGCGGGAGCTGCAATTAGCCGTGTGCACTTGACATGCATATCTCATTTAATTCTCACAATGGTTCTGGGCGGTCAGTACTGATACTATCCGCATTTTACAGAGAAGAAAACTGGCTAGACCAAGCTGTGCACCCCAACAGCCTCCAGAGCCCAGTGCTTTTAACCATTATACCAGTCTAAGCTAAACTCCATTAAGTGTTTAAACCCCAGCCTACAAATTGGGAAGATGGGCTTTTAATCCACTTTGTTCAGTGACATCTGTTCACAAAAAAGGTCCCCGCTGCGGTCAGAAAGCCGGGGGCCGGGGGCGTTAAAAGTGGGAGAGCTATGACCACTCAACCAAGAGCTGGACACGCTCGTGCAGTGAAAGAGGACGCCAGCTACCCTTGGCTGTTCAGTCCCTCCGGAGGATGGTCGGCCTCCCCCGCGGCGCGCCGGCGTCAGCACTGACAGGCCTTCCCGCCCAGGCCAGACGCAGAGACCCGTTGCCGACACTGGGCCCAGGCCAGGTCAGGGCCCAGGGCTGATAGGGGAGGCGCCAGGTCAGTGCTGGAGAGAGGCCGTCTTCGGGCTGAGGCACCCAGGCGCGGCAGGGAGAACGAGCCGAGTGCGGCCGAGAGCAGGGCAGGCGTCGTGGGGTCCCCTGAGAGGCACACCGGCAGGAGCCCCGGGAGCGGGGCGGGCCGAAGTGCCAGTGGAGGGCGAGCGCGCCCCGGCACCCTCCCGAGAGAAGGGCGGCGCTCGGGGTCCCCGGCACGGCCTCCCCTCTCAGCGGCCCCGTACAGGCGGGGAAAACCAACCTGCGCGGAGAGCCCAGGCCAGGGGTCTGGCGCGACGGAGCAGGAGCCGGAGCCGGAGCCGGTCTTCTCTCAGGGCTTCGGAGCTCAGCGGAGCGCTGTGGATGGCGGCTGCGGAGGGCCAAAAGTAGTCCTGGCCCGCAGGCCCCACCTCCCACACGCGCCGCTAGGCGCGGGGCCCAGCACCCCGCTGACCCACGGAGAACGTTCCCTAATAGGATTATAGCTTTTAATCGGGCCTCCCTCACCTGCCCTGTGATTGCGCAGTGGGTCAGATCCCGAGACCAGTAAGTTCTGGTCTATTCAATTTGAGTCAGGCTCCGCGGGCAGCCTCTGAAAAGGGAAAATAACTCATTATTTACTTATTGAAGCGGAGAAGACCTGGACCTAGCTTCAGGGGCTCTCAGTGGAATCCACTTAGTTGAAAAGGTAAAAAGCAATCTAGGCCATAAAGAGCGGTGAGTGACTTTCTGCAGCCCAGCAACAACTGGTGCCCCCAACCGTTGGTTGAACTAATTAAAAGCTATAGATGGG